AGTAACGGACAGAAGATCAGATCAGTAACAGACAGAAGATCAGATCAGTAACGGACAGAAGATCAGATCAGTAACAGACAGAAGATCAGATCAGTAACAGACAGAAGATCAGATCAGTAACGGACAGCAGATCAGATCAGTAACAGACAGAAGATCAGATCAGTAACGGACATAAGATCAGATCAGTAACCGACAGAAGATCAGATCAGTAACGGACAAAAGATCAGATCAGTAACGGACAGAAGATCAGATCAGTAACGGACAGAAGATCAGATCAGTAACAGACAGAAGATCAGATCAGTAACAGACAGAAGATCAGATCAGTGACAGACAGAAGATCAGATCAGTAACAGACAGCAGATCAGATCAGTAACGGACAGCAGATCAGATCAGTAACAGACAGAAGATCAGATCAGTAACGGACAGCAGATCAGATCAGTAACAGACAGAAGATCAGATCAGTAACGGACATAAGATCAGATCAGTAACCGACAGAAGATCAGATCAGTAACGGACAAAAGATCAGATCAGTAACGGACAGAAGATCAGATCAGTAACAGACAGAAGATCAGATCAGTAACGGACAGAAGATCAGATCAGTAACAGACAGAAGATCAGATCAGTAACGGACAGCAGATCAGATCAGTAACAGACAGAAGATCAGATCAGTAACGGACATAAGATCAGATCAGTAACCGACAGAAGATCAGATCAGTAACGGACAAAAGATCAGATCAGTAACAGACAGAAGATCAGATCAGTAACGGACAGCAGATCAGATCAGTAACGGACAGAAGATCAGATCAGTAACGGACAGAAGATCAGATCAGTAACGGACAGAAGATCAGATCAGTAACAGACAGAAGATCAGATCAGTAACGGACAGAAGATCAGATCAGTAACAGACAGAAGATCAGATCAGTAACAGACAGAAGATCAGATCAGTAACGGACAGCAGATCAGATCAGTAACAGACAGAAGATCAGATCAGTAACAGACAGAAGATCAGATCAGTAACGGACAGAAGATCAGATCAGTAACGGACAGAAGATCAGATCAGTAACAGACAGAAGATCAGATCAGTAACAGACAGAAGATCAGATCAGTAACAGACAGAAGATCAGATCAGTAACAGACAGAAGATCAGATCAGTAACGGACAGAAGATCAGATCAGTAATGGACAGAAGATCAGATCAGTAACGGACAGAAGATCAGATCAGTAACAGACAGAAGATCAGATCAGTAACAGACAGAAGATCAGATCAGTAACCGACAGAAGATCAGATCAGTAACGGACATAAGATCAGATCAGTAACCGACAGAAGATCAGATCAGTAACGGACAGAAGATCAGATCAGTGACAGACAGAAGATCAGATCAGTAACAGACAGAAGATCAGATCAGTAACAGACAGAAGATCAGATCAGTAACAGACAGAAGATCAGATCAGTAACAGACAGGAGATCAGATCAGTAACAGACAGAAGATCAGATCAGTAACAGACAGAAGATCAGATCAGTAACGGACAGAAGATCAGATCAGTAACAGACAGAAGATCAGATCAGTAACGGACATAAGATCAGATCAGTAACAGACAGAAGATCAGATCAGTAACAGACAGAAGATCAGATCAGTAACGGACAGAAGATCAGATCAGTAACAGACAGAAGATCAGATCAGTAACGGACAGCAGATCAGATCAGTAACGGACAGAAGATCAGATCAGTACCGGACAGAAGATCAGATCAGTAACAGACAGAAGATCAGATCAGTAACAGACAAAAGATCAGATCAGTAACGGACAGAAGATCAGATCAGTAACGGACATAAGATCAGATCAGTAACCGACAGAAGATCAGATCAGTAACGGACATAAGATCAGATCAGTAACAGACAGAAGATCAGATCAGTAACGGACAGAAGATCAGATCAGTAACCGACAGAAGATCAGATCAGTAACGGACAAAAGATCAGATCAGTAACGGACAGAAGATCAGATCAGTAACAGACAGAAGATCAGATCAGTAACGGACAGCAGATCAGATCAGTAACGGACAGAAGATCAGATCAGTAACGGACAGAAGATCAGATCAGTAACAGACAGAAGATCAGATCAGTAACGGACAGAAGATCAGATCAGTAACAGACAGAAGATCAGATCAGTAACAGACAGAAGATCAGATCAGTAACAGACAGAAGATCAGATCAGTAACAGACAGAAGATCAGATCAGTAACGGACAGAAGATCAGATCAGTAACGGACAGAAGATCAGATCAGTAACGGACAGAAGATCAGATCAGTAACAGACAGAAGATCAGATCAGTAACAGACAGAAGATCAGATCAGTAACCGACAGAAGATCAGATCAGTAACGGACATAAGATCAGATCAGTAACCGACAGAAGATCAGATCAGTAACGGACAGAAGATCAGATCAGTAACGGACAGAAGATCAGATCAGTAACGGACAGAAGATCAGATCAGTAACGGACAGAAGATCAGATCAGTAACGGACAGAAGATCAGATCAGTAACAGACAGCAGATCAGATCAGTAACGGACATAAGATCAGATCAGTAACCGACAGAAGATCAGATCAGTAACGGACAGAAGATCAGATCAGTAACGGACAGAAGATCAGATCAGTAACAGACAGCAGATCAGATCAGTAACGGACATAAGATCAGATCAGTAACAGACAGAAGATCAGATCAGTAACGGACAGAAGATCAGATCAGTAACGGACAGAAGATCAGATCAGTAACCGACAGAAGATCAGATCAGTAACGGACATAAGATCAGATCAGTAACCGACAGAAGATCAGATCAGTAACGGACAGAAGATCAGATCAGTGACAGACAGAAGATCAGATCAGTAACGGACAGAAGATCAGATCAGTAACAGACAGCAGATCAGATCAGTAACGGACAGAAGATCAGATCAGTAACGGACAGAAGATCAGATCAGTAACGGACAGCAGATCAGATCAGTAACAGACAGAAGATCAGATCAGTAACAGACAGCAGATCAGATCAGTAACAGACAGCAGATCAGATCAGTAACAGACAGCAGATCAGATCAGTAACAGACAGAAGATCAGATCAGTAACAGACAGAAGATCAGATCAGTAACGGACAGAAGATCAGATCAGTAACAGACAGAAGATCAGATCAGTAACAGACAGAAGATCAGATCAGTAACAGACAGAAGATCAGATCAGTAACAGACAGAAGATCAGATCAGTAACGGACAGAAGATCAGATCAGTAACGGACAGAAGATCAGATCAGTAACGGACAGAAGATCAGATCAGTAACGGACAGAAGATCAGATCAGTAACAGACAGAAGATCAGATCAGTAACAGACAGAAGATCAGATCAGTAACAGACAGAAGATCAGATCAGTAACGGACAGCAGATCAGATCAGTAACGGACAGAAGATCAGATCAGTAACGGACAGAAGATCAGATCAGTAACGGACAGAAGATCAGATCAGTAACAGACAGAAGATCAGATCAGTAACAGACAGAAGATCAGATCAGTAACAGACAGAAGATCAGATCAGTAACAGACAGAAGATCAGATCAGTAACGGACAGAAGATCAGATCAGTAACAGACAGAAGATCAGATCAGTAACAGACAGAAGATCAGATCAGTAACAGACAGAAGATCAGATCAGTAACAGACAGAAGATCAGATCAGTAACAGACAGAAGATCAGATCAGTAACAGACAGAAGATCAGATCAGTAACGGACAGAAGATCAGATCAGTAACGGACAGAAGATCAGATCAGTAACAGACAGAAGATCAGATCAGTAACAGACAGAAGATCAGATCAGTAACGGACAGAAGATCAGATCAGTAACGGACAGAAGATCAGATCAGTAACGGACAGAAGATCAGATCAGTAACAGACAGAAGATCAGATCAGTAACAGACAGAAGATCAGATCAGTAACAGACAGAAGATCAGATCAGTAACGGACAGCAGATCAGATCAGTAACAGACAGAAGATCAGATCAGTAACAGACAGAAGATCAGATCAGTAACAGACAGAAGATCAGATCAGTAACAGACAGAAGATCAGATCAGTAACAGACAGAAGATCAGATCAGTAACGGACAGAAGATCAGATCAGTAACAGACAGAAGATCAGATCAGTAACGGACAGCAGATCAGATCAGTAACAGACAGAAGATCAGATCAGTAACAGACAGAAGATCAGATCAGTAACGGACAGCAGATCAGATCAGTAACGGACAGAAGATCAGATCAGTAACGGACAGAAGATCAGATCAGTAACGGACAGAAGATCAGATCAGTAACGGACAGAAGATCAGATCAGTAACGGACAGAAGATCAGATCAGTAACAGACAGAAGATCAGATCAGTAACAGACAGAAGATCAGATCAGTAACAGACATAAGATCAGATCAGTAACAGACAGAAGATCAGATCAGTAACAGACAGAAGATCAGATCAGTAACAGACAGAAGATCAGATCAGTAACAGACAGAAGATCAGATCAGTAACAGACATAAGATCAGATCAGTAACAGACAGAAGATCAGATCAGTAACAGACAGAAGATCAGATCAGTAACAGACAGAAGATCAGATCAGTAACGGACAGAAGATCAGATCAGTAACGGACAGAAGATCAGATCAGTAACGGACAGAAGATCAGATCAGTAACAGACAGAAGATCAGATCAGTAACAGACAGAAGATCAGATCAGTAACAGACAGAAGATCAGATCAGTAACGGACAGAAGATCAGATCAGTAACAGACAGAAGATCAGATCAGTAACAGACAGAAGATCAGATCAGTAACGGACAGAAGATCAGATCAGTAACAGACAGAAGATCAGATCAGTAACAGACAGAAGATCAGATCAGTAACAGACAGAAGATCAGATCAGTAACAGACAGAAGATCAGATCAGTAACAGACAGAAGATCAGATCAGTAACATTATAGATCAGTAGTATTTAATTACCTTGACTCTCAGCAGGGTTTGTTTCTCCTCTTCTGTATTATGTCGAGTCAATCACAGCCAATACATTTAAAAGATAAACTACGGCGCAAATTGTTCGTCAAGCCATCAAACTTTTCGACATGAGTGAAATAAGTCACCAATCACTTTTAAAAAGATCGCAGAGTGAGCGAAAAAATAAAGAAAATAAACAAGGCCTTTATAATGAGTGAGAAACATCCCTAGATACTAGAGATCTGAGTCTGAAGTGATGGAGAAAACATCCCTGATCAATCAAAGACTTCAGAAAGACCATCAGACTCTCACTACCATTCATATACACTCAAATACACATATCCATCATATAAATACAAAAATACTCATATATAAATAAACTCCAACAGCGGCCTGCGCTAGTTAGCATTAGCAGCTAAAGTAAGAGTAATCAAAATTATAATCATTTAAGCGCAGGAATAAAACAATTTTAGCGTTTAAAATCGACGCGTAAACCCGACGTTTACTGACATGTTGTAATTTGAAAATATGAATTAATGAATCGCGTTTATTAGTGTCAATTATTCTGACGCGTCACCATCTGATCCATGAGGAAAAACACCGGGATAAAAGTACAAATCGACAACTTTAAAAGCACAAGGCGCTCTTTAAACGACACTAGCCACAAACAAAGTATTCCGTCGCCTAGTTTGGCTTCGAAAAAGAACAATTAATGCAGAAAAAAATAGTTAAAACAAAATTTAAAGCGAGAGTTTGTCGCTGCTCCAGAATCCTGCGCTCGCGAGAGGTGAGGACGTGCTGACGTCACGACGCCAAATCCCGTGGAAGATACAAAGACATCTTCAAAAAAGGGGGGGAAAAAGACATGAAAACGCGAGGAATCCAAGTTTCCATGGATGTTATTAATTCATCATAAATGTACTGGTTTTCATTTATTTTCTTTATGTAATTAATGCATAAACATAGATGGTTTTGTGTGATTTCAATCGGTACTGTCTCACATCTAGAGGGCGCAGAGATCTCTGGATCCATGAATGCCTAATGTATATCCAGTTCTTTCATTTATGTTGCTTAGTTATTTGTTTTAAATTTAAATTAATCTTGCCTCTTTCTTGAAAGATAAACATACGTATAAAAAGATCTCACTTCATAAAGGCATAATATATAGTGTGTATATATATATATATATATATATATATGTGTGTGTATATATATATAGATAGATAGATAGATAGATAGATAGATAGATAGATAGATAGATTAAACTCAACTACCTTGTCTTATTTTTTAATAAAAAAAATTGTCATTCGCAATAACTAAATATATAAATAAAAAAATTGTCATTCGCAACAACTAAATATATAAATATTTCTAGCCTACAAAAAAGGGAACAGGGGCTGAACATGATCCGTGGGCGGGGCTCACAGTGAGCGGGCGGGGCCTGCGTCGAGTGGGCGTGGCCTCTCGGTGTGTGTGTGTCATGTCTGCTGTTCTTCTTTCTTCTGCTGTCTCTGTCGCGCCACGTTGATCGAGCGATCATTCATCAGATGCAGGTGAGATTAAACATCATTCACTGCGAGTACTGATGTAAAAACACTCCCAGTGCAGCTCGAAATCCGTCGGGTTATAGTGTTGCTTCCGCGCTTTATGAACTTTGCATGTTATTGTGTCTTAGCAATGCTAACTGTGCTTGTAAAGTGAGTAAACATGAATATCCGCGATAAAACCAGCATTATTATTAAGTTTGTTTATCCCGCTGTGTGTTTACATAGTGTTCATTAGTCCGTCAGAGAAAAATATGGAGATCAACCAAGTTCCTGAAAAACAAACGACACGTGTCACTCAGACCTCGTTTAATTATTACAGGTTTTGTTGTTGTTATTATTGAACGGTTTTACTTTAAACTGACATGTTAGTCTGACATGGTCATAAAGTTTATTCATCTCTTTATATATATGAGAAATTATGTGTGAAATGAATCATAGTTGAGCATAAATGAGGCTAGATCTATTATATGATGATTTTCATATCGCCTGCTGTATAAAAGGCACAATTCACCCCAAAATAAACTGATTTTGACTTTCTTTTTTTCTGTGGGACATAAAAGAAGATATTGCCACGAATGCTGGTGACCATGACTTCCACTGTACGAACAAAAACCCAGAATATCTTCTTTTGTGTTCTACAGAAGAGAGATCGAGGTTTGCGTCTGTGAAATAGAGAACGTGTAAAATAGAGTGACTTAAATAAAGGGAATTTTGTGATAATATTTACCATTACATTAGAAATATGAATATATGAGCTTGCGCAATAGCTGATGTTCTATTGTGTGCATGTTTTTAATTTCTCATTTAAGATGAAATCTTTATAAACTGAGATTATAATGAGGAAAACAGCCTCGTTAAAAAATATTTGATTAATTTGTTGTTACTAATCCTTAGGAAAAAAGTAATAAATCTGTTTCACTTCTTATTAATATAATAACAATTTGTATTTGTGTGCCAAATTTGAGTCATGTGGTGTAACTATCATGAATTGTATTATTTATATAAAAAATATAAATGATATCATATAATCAATAAGAAATTATCTTTTAAAATAGCAGATCATTTGACCTTTTTATGACATGACAATGCCGTCTCCTCTCACTGAACACAGCATTAATACTGATGTAGTTTTACTAACGCTGGGTAATGTGTTATTGATCATCACAGACCGCTCGTCCTGGCTTATACTGTTTATTAATTGTATTATTTATAAAAAAAATGATAAATTATATCATATAATAAGTAAGAAATCATCTTTAAAAATAGCAGATCATTTGACCTTTTTATGACGAGATGTCATGTGTGACTCCCAAAAAAATAATAATATTTGTTTATTAATAATTGATGTTTTTTACATGGAAAGATCTATTGTAAGAATAATGATATGCGAGGTGTGTGTGGGACATGAGCTGTGCTTGATGATCCAGTGGCATTTGTCATTAAACTGATGAAGAGGAGTGTGTGTTTTCTCCTCCTCTTCCTCACTTAGTGCAGTTTCTGGATGCTAGCGCTGGGTAATGTGTTACTGACCGTCATGATCCGCTCGTCCCGTGTTATATAGAGTGTGTGTGTGTGTGTGAGAGAGCTGGACTGACGTCACGCGTGTTTCTTCTGTGTCTCTGCTCCAGTGTTGCTTCATGTCCTCCTCGTGAGCGTGCGCTGTGATTGGTCCTGCTGAGCGTGCGCTGTGATTGGCCGGCTCCTCCTCATCAGCATCAGTGTGTGCTGGGCTTTTGTCTGGGCCTGATCCTGATCCTGATCCGCGGCTGAGGTCCGGCCCGCCGGAGGACTGACGGATGTGTGTGAGCACGGGTTGGTGTGTGTTGTGCGTTGATGCGTTGATGACCCCTGCTGTGTAGCTCGCCCGCCCCACCCCCCGCTCCCTCTCCTCCTGGATCAGCCATGTTTGGCACCGAGTCCTCATGTAAGTACCCATCCTCCACCACAGTGTGTGTGTGTGTGTGTGTGTGCGCCATCCTCCACCACAGCTGTCTCTCTCTCTCTCTCTCTGTCCTGCATGCGTTAGTGCCGCTGTGTGTGTGTGTGTGTGTGTGTGTGTGTTATGATATGTGTTGCTGCAGATAAACACAGCGTCGTGTCGGAGAGGTTTGTGGGTCTGTGCTCTGTGTGTGTGTGTGTGTGTGTGTGTGTGTGTTCATCAGAACTGCTCACTTTATCATTGGAGAAGCTCTTATGTGAGTTCTGTATAGTAATATCACTGTATGTTATCCTGTGTGATCGATACGCGATCATGTGCTCATTATTATGGCGCTGATCTCCCGTTTTCCATCTCCGTCCCGATCCCAGCCGGCGCTGAGGAACTTCTGCCTCCTCTGAGCTCCTCGTGAACCTCATGCTTTAGAACAGCTCTGTGTTGATTGACACATGATGAATGACACACACATAACATTCATGTGCTTTGAAATGTATTTAACACACGATTTTAGAGAGCATTGTTACACAAGTGTGAGTGTGAGAGTAATCGGAGCCGGTTCTGTGTCAGATAATATATATATATACAGTCCGTACAGATAGTATAATATACGGTCCGAAAGATTATTCTAATGTTTCTGAAAGAGTCTCTTCTGCTCATCAAAGCTGCGTTTATTTGATCAAAACTACAGTAAAAACAGTGAAATATTATTATAATGTAAATCATCTGTTCTCTATGTGAATATACAGTAAAGTGTAATTTATTCCTGTGATCAAAGCTGATGTTCAGCATCATTACTCCAGTCTTCAGTGTCACATGATCCTTCAGAAATCACTCTAATATGAGGATCTGATGCTCAAGAGACATTTATGATTATTATCAGTGTTGATCAGTTTAGAGCTAATTTAGATTTTCGTTATGCACTTTATTTTTCGCAATTCTTTGATGAATAGAAAGTTCAAAAGAACAGCTTTTATTTTAAATATAATCTTGTTACATTATAAATGTCTTTACTGTCAGTTTTTATCCATTTAATGCAGCAAAGCCTGAAACTGTTCTGTGGTCGAGCACAGACGACACTGAACACTATTGACCAGAACATGTCAGCGCTGTCTTATAAACACCTCAGGAACTGTGGACACTTGTGGAAGAGTTCAACATGATGAGGAGATGATCAGTGTAACTCCACAACAACTACAGAAATGTCTCCGCTAACATTCAGAAACGTGTAAAAGTGAAGCTCTCCCTGAGTCTCTCCGTAAGGCTGCACTCGCTGCTGTTACTCCTGACTCTGGATCAGTGAGATCGGCCTGTGTTGTTATTGCCGGAGTCTCTGAAGCTCGTGTAAAGGCTCCGCCCTCTTCTGAATGGAGGCGGAGCTAAAGCTCATTTGCATTTAAAGGGACACACACTAAAACAACGTGTTTTTGCTCACATCCAAAAAGGGGCAAATTTGACGAGCTGTAATAAATGATCTGGGGGGATTTGGAGCTGAAATTTCACAGACACATTCTGGGGACGCCGGAGATTTATATTACATCTGGTGAAAAGGGGCGTAATAATAATATAATATGTCACCTTTAAGAAGTAAATCTTACTGACCCCGTACTTTTAAACAGTAGTGAGAAGAGCTTTTTAAAGCAGCTTCACGGAAATTCATGTGTGTGTGTGTGTGAGACTGAGGCCTGTAGTGGAGTGTGTGATGAATGGATCTTCTGTGTGTGTGTGAGAGTCTCTCCAGCTGAATGAATGAGTGCAGCTGCTGTCGGACGGACGCCGTGTGTTGGGATGTTAATCGAGTGTGTCGCGTCTCGTCTCGTCTCGTGTCTTGTCAGTGCAGTTCACCTGGCGCTCTTCTTAACACTCATTACAGTTAAAAGGAAAATTCATTCAAAAATAAGTGGTTCATCATCACGTCTTTCCAGACCCGGTTCTTCTGCGCAACATAAACACAGATATTTTGTGTCAGTGGTCACTGTATGGAGAAAAAAGCAGGATGTGATGTCATGTGTCGTCCGTCAGGTTTGAGTGAGCTCAGCAAGATTAGATGATGTCATGAGTGATGATGTCATGTTCAGGTTTACACTCACACACTGGCTGATTCCAGAGCGACTGAAACTGTATAAATAAACACACATGAGTCCCGTGCTGTCCGAACTTCATTTACATCAATGAATGAATAAGCCTGATCTTCACGTGTTTGATGTCTGATTGGTCTCTCTCTCTCTGTGTGTGTGTGTGTGTGTGTGTGTGTGTGTGTGTGTGTGTGTGTGTGTGTGTGTGTGTGTGTGTGTGTGTGTGTGTGTGTGTGTGTGTGTGCAGTGAGCATGTTCCTCAACACTTTGACCCCCAAGTTCTACGTGGCGTTGACAGGCACCTCATCCCTCATCTCAGGACTCATTCTGGTGAGTGACCTTTACTTGCACAACATTTGATCAAGCGGCTTCACGTTGAGGACATTGAACACTCACTCATGCTTTTCTGATGAAGATCCATCTTTATTTATGTTCTGCACGATCCCCTTTCTATTAAACATATCTTGGACTGTCCTGCTTTTACTGCGAGTAGACGACGGTTTTATTTAGTCCGCTTTCTGAAGGATGTGTTTACCAGAAAAGAAAAGCTACCAGAAGATGTTTATAGCTTATGAAAATGTGAAACATCTTGTGTAATTTTGAATTGAATTGTTTTTATTGAATTAATTCCTTACAATTGAATCACCGCAGGGATCTGTCAGTAAAAGCAGCTCTGTGGGTTTAGTTTGTGAAGTTGGAATCGGTGCAGAAATGTTTTATTGCGTGTAAATGATTGTGTTTGCTCAGAAGAGTGTGTGATCATGATGTTGTGTGTCTCAGATCTTCGAGTGGTGGTATTTCCGGAAGTACGGCACGTCGTTCATCGAGCAGGTTTCGGTCTCTCACCTGCGTCCTCTGCTCGGTGGAGTCGACACCAGTTCTCCCAGCAACACCAGTGCCAGTAATGGAGACGCCGACTCCAGCCGGCAGAGCGTCTCAGGTCAGCTGTCAATCACCAACCAGTCACTGTCAGTCTAAGTTTATGAGTCTGTTTAACGATGTTTTCCTGTGTGTGTGTGTGTGTAGAGTGTAAAGTTTGGAGAAATCCGCTCAATCTGTTCAGAGGAGCTGAATATAACCGGTGAGTGACCGTCAAAACAAGCTAGTCTTTAATTTAACTGTCTGGTAAACGCTGTTTATATACATTTTTTTCGTGATTTTAAAATGCTTTTTTTTATTTTTCTAAATTTGTTCAGTAACTGATGTTGAGAGTAACTGATGATGAGAGTAACTGATGTTGAGAGTAACTGATGACGAGAGTAACTGATGATGACAGTAACTGATGATGAGAGTAACTGATGATGAGAGTAACTGATGATGAGAGTAACTGATGATGACAGTAACTGATGATGACAGTAACTGATGAGGAGAGTAACTGATGATGAGAGTAACTGATGATGAGAGTAACTGATGATGACAGTAACTGATGATGACAGTAACTGATGATGAGAGTAACTGATGAGGAGAGTAACTGATGACGAGAGTAACTGATGACGAGAGTAACTGATGAGAGTAACTGATGATGAGAGTAACTGATGATGAGAGTAACTGATGATGAGAGTAACTGATGAGGAGAGTAACTGATGACGAGAGTAACTGATGATGAGAGTAACTGATGATGAGAGTAACTGATGAGGAGAGTAACTGATGACGAGAGTAACTGATGATGAGAGTAACTGATGACGAGAGTAACTGATGATGAGAGTAACTGATGATGACAGTAACTGATGAGGAGAGTAACTGATGACGAGAGTAACTGATGATGAGAGTAACTGATGAGGAGAGTAACTGATGACGAGAGTAACTGATGACGAGAGTAACTGATGACGAGAGTAACTGATGAGGAGAGTAACTGATGAGGAGAGTAACTGATGAGGAGAGTAACTGATGATGACAGTAACTGATGATGACAGTAACTGATGATGAGAGTAACTGATGATGAGAGTAACTGATGATGAGAGTAACTGATGATGAGAGTAACTGATGATGAGAGTAACTGATGATGAGAGTAACTGATGATGAGAGTAACTGATGATGAGAGTAACTGATGATGAGAGTAACTGATGATGAGAGTAACTGATGATGAGAGTAACTGATGATGAGAGTAACTGATGACGAGAGTAACTGATGATGAGAGTAACTGATGATGACAGTAACTGATGATGAGAGTAACTGATGATGAGAGTAACTGATGATGAGAGTAACTGATGATGACAGTAACTGATGATGAGAGTAACTGATGATGACAGTAACTGATGAGGAGAGTAACTGATGATGAGAGTAACTGATGATGAGAGTAACTGATGAGGAGAGTAACTGATGACGAGAGTAACTGATGACGAGAGTAACTGATGATGAGAGTAACTGATGACGAGAGTAACTGATGACGAGAGTAACTGATGAGGAGAGTAACTGATGACGAGAGTAACTGATGACGAGAGTAACTGATGATGACAGTAACTGATGACGAGAGTAACTGATGACGAGAGTAACTGATGACGAGAGTAACTGATGATGAGAGTAACTGATGATGACAGTAACTGATGACGAGAGTAACTGATGACGAGAGTAACTGATGACGAGAGTAACTGATGATGAGAGTAACTGATGATGACAGTAACTGATGAGGAGAGTAACTGATGAGGAGAGTAACTGATGACGAGAGTAACTGATGACGAGAGTAACTGATGACGAGAGTAACTGATGACGAGAGTAACTGATGACGAGAGTAACTGATGACGACAGTAACTGATGATGAGAGTAACTGATGATGACAGTAACTGATGAGGAGAGTAACTGATGATGACAGTAACTGATGACGAGAGTAACTGATGACGAGAGTAACTGATGACGAGAGTAACTGATGACGAGAGTAACTGATGATGAGAGTAACTGATGATGACAGTAACTGATGATGAGAGTAACTGATGACGAGAGTAACTGATGATGACAGTAACTGATGAGGAGAGTAACTGATGACGAGAGTAACTGATGACGAGAGTAACTGATGACGAGAGTAACTGATGACGAGAGTAACTGATGACGAGAGTAACTGATGATGAGAGTAACTGATGATGACAGTAACTGATGAGGAGAGTAACTGATGAGGAGAGTAACTGATGACGAGAGTAACTGATGACGAGAGTAACTGATGACGAGAGTAACTGATGATGACAGTAACTGATGATGAGAGTAACTGATGATGACAGTAACTGATGAGGAGAGTAACTGATGATGACAGTAACTGATGACGAGAGTAACTGATGACGAGAGTAACTGATGACGAGAGTAACTGATGACGAGAGTAACTGATGACGAGAGTAACTGATGATGAGAGTAACTGATGATGACAGTAACTGATGAGGAGAGTAACTGATGACGAGAGTAACTGATGACGAGAGTAACTGATGACGAGAGTAACTGATGACGAGAGTAACTGATGATGACAGTAACTGATGATGAGAGTAACTGATGATGAGAGTAACTGATGATGAGAGTAACTGATGATGAGAGTAACTGATGATGAGAGTAACTGATGAGGAGAGTAACTGATGACGAGAGTAACTGATGACGAGAGTAACTGATGATGACAGTAACTGATGACGAGAGTAACTGATGATGAGAGTAACTGATGAGGAGAGTAACTGATGAGGAGAGTAACTGATGATGAGAGTAACTGATGAGGAGAGTAACTGATGACGAGAGTAACTGATGACGAGAGTAACTGATGATGAGAGTAACTGATGACGAGAGTAACTGATGATGAGAGTAACTGATGAGGAGAGTAACTGATGACGAGAGTAACTGATGACGAGAGTAACTGATGACGAGAGTAACTGATGAGGAGAGTAACTGATGAGGAGAGTAACTGATGACGAGAGTAACTGATGACGAGAGTAACTGATGATGAGAGTAACTGATGACGAGAGTAACTGATGATGAGAGTAACTGATGACGAGAGTAACTGATGATGAGAGTAACTGATGAGGAGAGTAACTGATGACGAGAGTAACTGATGACGAGAGTAACTGATGACGAGAGTAACTGATGAGGAGAGTAACTGATGAGGAGAGTAACTGATGATGAGAGTAACTGATGATGAGAGTAACTGATGAGGAGAGTAACTGATGACGAGAGTAACTGATGATGAGAGTAACTGATGATGACAGTAACTGATGATGAGAGTAACTGATGATGAGAGTAACTGATGATGACAGTAACTGATGACGAGAGTAACTGATGACGAGAGTAACTGATGACGAGAGTAACTGATGACGAGAGTAACTGATGACGAGAGTAACTGATGACGAGAGTAACTGATGATGAGAGTAACTGATGATGACAGTAACTGATGACGAGAGTAACTGATGACGAGAGTAACTGATGACGAGAGTAACTGATGACGAGAGTAACTGATGACGAGAGTAACTGATGACGAGAGTAACTGATGACGAGAGTAACTGATGACGAGAGTAACTGATGACGAGAGTAACTGATGAGGAGAGTAACTGATGATGAGAGTAACTGATGATGACAGTAACTGATGACGAGAGTAACTGATGACGAGAGTAACTGATGATGACAGTAACTGATGACGAGAGTAACTGATGACGAGAGTAACTGATGACGAGAGTAACTGATGATGACAGTAACTGATGAGGAGAGTAACTGATGACGAGAGTAACTGATGACGAGAGTAACTGATGATGACAGTAACTGATGATGAGAGTAACTGATGATGAGAGTAACTGATGATGACAGTAACTGATGAGGAGAGTAACTGATGATGAGAGTAACTGATGATGAGAGTAACTGATGATGACAGTAACTGATGAGGAGAGTAACTGATGATGAGAGTAACTGATGACGAGAGTAACTGATGACGAGAGTAACTGATGACGAGAGTAACTGATGACGAGAGTAACTGATGACGAGAGTAACTGATGACGAGAGTAACTGATGATGAGAGTAACTGATGATGACAGTAACTGATGACGAGAGTAACTGATGACGAGAGTAACTGATGACGAGAGTAACTGATGAGGAGAGTAACTGATGATGAGAGTAACTGATGAGGAGAGTAACTGATGATGAGAGTAACTGATGATGACAGTAACTGATGACGAGAGTAACTGATGACGAGAGTAACTGATGATGACAGTAACTGATGAGGAGAGTAACTGATGAGGAGAGTAACTGATGACGAGAGTAACTGATGACGAGAGTAACTGATGACGAGAGTAACTGATGATGAGAGTAACTGATGATGACAGTAACTGATGAGGAGAGTAACTGATGACGAGAGTAACTGATGACGAGAGTAACTGATGACGAGAGTAACTGATGATGAGAGTAACTGATGTTGAGAGTAACTGATGACGAGAGTAACTGATGAGGAGAGTAACTGATGATGAGAGTAACTGATGATGACAGTAACTGATGATGACAGTAACTGATGATGACAGTAACTGATGATGAGAGTAACTGATGATGAGAGTAACTGATGATGACAGTAACTGATGACGAGAGTAACTGATGATGAGAGTAACTGATGATGAGAGTAACTGATGATGACAGTAACTGATGACGAGAGTAACTGATGATGAGAGTAACTGATGATGAGAGTAACTGATGATGAGAGTAACTGATGATGACAGTAACTGATGACGAGAGTAACTGATGAGGAGAGTAACTGATGATGAGAGTAACTGATGATGACAGTAACTGATGATGACAGTAACTGATGATGACAGTAACTGATGATGAGAGTAACTGATGATGAGAGTAACTGATGATGACAGTAACTGATGACGAGAGTAACTGATGATGAGAGTAACTGATGATGACAGTAACTGATGATGAGAGTAACTGATGACGAGAGTAACTGATGATGAGAGTAACTGATGATGAGAGTAACTGATGATGAGAGTAACTGATGATGACAGTAACTGATGACGAGAGTAACTGATGATGAGAGTAACTGATGATGACAGTAACTGATGATGAGAGTAACTGATGATGACAGTAACTGATGACGAGAGTAACTGATGATGAGAGTAACTGATGATGACAGTAACTGAT